GCTCGGAACCACTCTCCATGGGTATCTTTATCAGTCATCCCAAAGAACGACTTGATTGTTTCGGGGGAACCATCCTCCAGAATCCAGATCATCGATTCAGTTAGGCTCGATAAAATATATTGCCTCCCTACACGGAGGTCTACAGGCAGTCATTGAATCGCTACATACGACTGTGTGCCCTTCTTTAAGTGAAGGTTAAAAAAAAAGTACACAGCGACGCCTAGATGTCGCTTTTAAAAAAAGAAAAAAAAAAGGAACACTCCAGTTGATTTGCGTCGCGCGGCGTCCTTATTCTCGCGCACGTTCCCGACCATTTGCTGCACCCGCAGGATGAGCCCTATTGGTGGCAATTGGACTCTAGGGGCGATACTCGAGATTGAACGAGTGTTCTCACTGCCTTCGATTACGGGTCGCATGGTAAATGATGCCCAAGTGCGTTTGGTGTCCAAGTGCGTTTCAAACTTGGCGACTCGCATCTTGCTTGCAACGCTCTTTTCGACGAGTACATAGATGGATAGATATCGATGCCCGACGACCGCAAATATTTTGTGCAGCTGAAAGAAGATCCTTACGGACATCTTCCGTGAATCTGTGGCGGTGGAGGGAAAGATGGCGTTGTAGTCTGTTGCAGGTGAAGAAAAGTAGGACAGGCGGCAGGCCCTTGCCACTCCCCTTCTCGCCATGATTGGTGGTATCCTCCTCTCCAGCGTGTGCTCTACTTAAAAAAGGTTGTCCTGCTTTTAACCTGTAACTCGTCTACTGTAAAGAGCACGTGTTTGGATGACGTAATCCGAATTGACAAACCCAATAAAAGTGTTGATTTCCCAGGTGCGTACGTGCATTTTCGGGGTCTTTTAAATCGGGCAAGTTTGTCTTATTGTATCTGAATCGCGTCTGAAAATTGTTGGCAGCTAATTTATGCTCAGGCTTCACTCATGTACATAGCAACGTATCGTGATCCCTCGCGCGCCTGTGCGTTTGCCCGCTTTCAACCAGACACGCATCATGTGACTGTCTGTCTCTAGAAAGATTTGACTGCATCCGCATATTCCTTTTTACAAAAGACATCCTTCCGGCCAATTCAGCTCTTTACAATACTCGACGGTCCGGCATTGTGCGAACGAAATGTGACACATACCGATCAAACGCGCACGTACAACCGGACCGGTCTGTACCTGTCGCTTCAAGCCATGTGTGATTACAGCTTACGGATCACGCAACGCGGCCCACGTCACTGCCAACCATGACAGGACTCCACCCCTTGAAGAATCTTCGTAGACGTGCGCGAAAGGGATCCCGATGACCAATTTCGCTCATGTAGCGATCACTCACCGCACCACCTACCCAACCAACTTTCTCTCTCGAAGCACCCACGTCACCGCGATGTACATGTTTTGGAATAACGCGAGATTACAGACCGGTGGGATCTTCGACATCGCATATTGCCGACGGCCTTTTCATCGCCCGAGTCCTTCTGTCCTGTTGCTGCGACGTCGTCCTACGGTTTTGGCAGAAGGCGAGATAGAGCCTCGAGGACTCGTTCCAGTTGGCTCGTTCTTGTTTTGCGACGCCTGCCTCGATAGGCGACGACAAGAATAAGGGAGAGGAGGAAAACTCGTGTGCATCTACACGGTCAAGTTCGTCCGCGAGAAGGAGGAAACACCGCTGCAGCGCCGATAAAGATTAAAAGAGCCAGGCTCGTAGCTCCCAATCAGGCGTGCCATTGACAGGCGGCGATCGTCTGCTACGCGCCTCCTGCCTTGGACCGAGGCCCACGGCTTTGACTCTTCTTCAATCATCGGTTGCCCATTTTTGCTTGTGGTTGTGATGGCGGTTGGACGCTGTCGCCAGGAGCTGATCATCGCGGCGGACACGGCCGGCTCCTTGTGCTCGAGGCCGCGGTCTCCTCTGCGGTTGTCCGGTTGAACTGCGATACCAGGAGGGGACAGTGCATCCGCAATGTCGGCGAGTCCCCTGTTGCGCCTCATGCAAAAGCGCAAATGGTACGTGAGGTGGGTCTTAGCTGCGCTTGGCTTCCTGTGCCAAATTGTGGTCGGTGGAGCCTCTTGGGTTCGTCTCGGGTGGTGGTGGTGGTGGTTTCGGTGAGTTCTGCAGTCGCTTCCTGGTAGCGGAGAGTCGTAGTTTGTAGTCGGTGAAGCCTGCTGCGAAACTTCATTTTTCTTAGAGTGGGGTTTGATTTTTTTTTTTTCACTCTTTGCCATTATTTAGAGATCCAATGCGTGGCAGTATGTCTGGATGTGGAAGGATTTCTTCAAGTGGAGGAAATGTAAATGAGGCATCTGATTTGAAATTGTTATGCTTCACTAATGGAACCCCCCTCCCCTGCCCTACCCACCCGCCCGCCTACCCACTCCGGCCCCTTTTTTTCCTTTTTCGCACGAATCTGGGTTGATATTTAAAGTTTGTTTAAAACATAAATATCCAATAAAACTTTTGCATTTTATTTTTTACTTTACTTTTTTGTATATTACCGCTTCGGTTCTTTCTAATAATATGTATACTGGTACCTTCATCTTTAATCAAGTTCCTATTTTAATAGCGAAACCCCTCACCTCTCGATTTATTAGCGGTAGCGCGTCTCTGTCAAAGGCCCGGCTTCCAGCACGTGCTCGTTGCCTTCCACCGTGCTCTGGTTGCGCGTCCGCGCTCGAAGCTCACGATTTGCCAAAGTGTTATTGAAGATAGGAAGCTCAGACTGGAAGAGACGGTACGATCGAAAGACCACCCGGCCCTTCTGATCATGTCCGTGTCAGTAGTAAAAGATAATCTTCCTCGCGAGGCTTACCAAAATTTCTCAGTTTTTTTTTTTTTTCTTCTTAAAGCGTGTTATAGTTCACGTTATCGAAATAATAAACACGGGGACGGACACAACAAATCTTTCGTTTTGTTTACTTTTTTTTTTTTTTCAGTAACGTGTAACTTTACCAACGTACTTACCTTCTAAACACTGTTATCGTTAATTGTTTCGGTGCTGCATGCACCGACTCAAATGATCGGCGTCTTCGTAATGGCTGCCGTGTGAACGCACCTGTGGTTTCATACATTAAATTGGTGCATAAAGACCGCCATTTTGCGACACGACGGGGCGTATTCCATGGCTGGGGGGCGACGACGGTTTGGGCACTAGAAGACGGGGGCGCAAATCCCGTCTTTCGCGAATTTTCTTTCGACCCGCCATCCGATGGAATTTCTTGGGACGGGGTGGCAGCATCGTTGTATCGTATCTTTTTCCCTCGCCCCTGGACGTGTGCATGCTAATCGCGCGATTCCGCGCACACTTACCTCTAGCACGCAGGCACGAGAAAAGCTGGTATGTGCGTTGACGACGCCTCTGCTCTTGCCTGTCTATTGGCGACAGCGTATTTCTTTGCCCCTGTAGCCATCCTTGAAGTTCCCTCAAACAGCAAGTATGCCCTAAGAATGCCAAAAAATCTATCTTTTTTTTTGGAGGGGGGGGGGGGGGGGATTTATTATTTTCTCCCCCGCGAAAAAAGAAACTAGACAAAAGCAAACAAACCAGAGCACATCGTCTTGGTCGGGGCTCTTGAAGCCCCCACTCTAAAAAAATATATATATATATAAGTATAAAGCTAAAAAAGTCATATTTAAAAAAAAGAAAAAAAGAAGGAAGCACACTTAAGAATTATCACCACATTCCTTTCTGCGCTGCTTGGGCAAAAATACAACAAAAACATTACACACCGAAAAAAAAAAAAACGAGACTAAATTGCTTTTGAACCGGGCCCACCCTCCCCTACAAAGGGTTTCTTTACTCCCCGTGCCGTTAGAGCACGTTAGAACCCCCCCCCCCCCCCCCCCCCCCCCCCCTAGTGGCCGGGAGGGGCACTTCCCGGGAGCAAGGAGCGCAGTCTGCGCAAAGGAAACTACTGGAAGTTTTCTGCCTGGAGGGAACCGTCAAATGCTAACAGTGTCGTTCTCAGAACCAACGGGGCTCATTTCTTTCTTTCTTTCTTTCTTTTTTATGTTGTCTGCTCTACTTGTCTGCCTCCGTTTCCCTTTCCGACGCCCGCTCCGACCCTCGATAGACCGTTTGTTGTGCCAAGGACCAGGAGAGCGTGTGGTCTTACTTCCAGGAACATAGGGCCCTGAGGGAGTCCCTTCCACTCGCGTTTCACCGTACGATGGACCGCAGCGGACGGTACGAGCTACCCCAGCCAATCCCAGCGTTGTAAACGCATCACCCGACTACGCGTGTCGCTGTGTTTCTCCCGAAGGTCACGTGGGACACTCGCACGGCATTTGATTGGCTCGTAGCGTCCGCTGCGGTCCACCGTAAGGGGAAGCGGATTATTGTATACATTGCCCGCGGGTGAGTGAGTGCTTGAACTTCGGTTGGAAAAAGGGACGCCCGACCGATGTGGGATGGTGGAACATAGAAAAAAATAAAAAGTGCTTTCATTTTTTCCAGATTCTCGTTTTGAGTTCTGCGTCCCCCCGCGGGGTTTCGCGAATGCCATATTGCGTAACAAGGTTGCCAGTTCCAGAGTGTTTCTGTCTCTCTCTAGATCTCTGTATTTTTTCTTCTTCTTCTTTCTCCCTAAATGATGCGATTTATATCTCGCGGCAAGCACGTAAAGTGCTGAAATTTTTTAACACTTTTTTTTTTTTTTCTCGACGCGTCAAGCGAAAACTGGCAATGAACTCTCAAGCAGCAGCTGGGGTCGCACTGCTGGAAGACAGACCGCAGACATTGTCTGAGGCATGTTTGTTCCTTGTATGACGGTCACATTGGTTATACAAACACTGTCTGCGAACATTTTAGAATCATACATAAGTACGAAGCAAACGTGCCTCCAAGATACTTGAGGCGTGTTTCGCGGAACACCGTGTCTTTTGTATGGCGTATGAGCAGTGCAACTCTGACTTCAGGGTTTTCTCTTTTTTTTTTCTTTTGTTGTTGTTCAGCGCGGTCGGAGTTTCGTTCTTGACGATCGGCCATGTGTTGGGGGTTTGTGCAGTTGGGAGGGGCTGGACCGGTCCCCGACGCCCCCGGAGTCCCCCAATGGGGGCCCCTCCGTCTGCCCCGAGACCAGTCCCCTGATGGACCCGGTGTCCGCGTCCTCCCCGACACCCAAAGTTGTGGCCATTCCCAGGAGCGCCTCGTTCAACTTTCCGTCGACCAGCGAGCGCGGCAACAGTCATGCGGTCAACGGTGAGTCGGCTAACCTTCTCCCGATCGCTTCCACCGCCAAACTATAGGGTGTCCCAAGTCACCAGGCTCGATCTAAAATGGACCGTAAAAATCGGAGCCTGCACGAAGCAATCTACACTTTTCGTCGAAGATGTATTTCACAGGTCGGTTTTTTCTTGTAAAATTTGAAAGCGTAGCTCCCTTTCTGTAAGAAATAGGGCCAAAAAACTTGCCCTGGTCAACGGCGGACAGCGGCGGAGACGAGTTGCGGGGCGCTTTTGGCGCGCGTATTGATAGATGGCGTCTGGAGCAGCGTCCGAGGGTGTAGCCGACCAGCGAAAGAAAGCAGACGATACGCAGACGAAATTAGTTTGCAGCAAAAGCGCCGTCGTTACGCCAACGCGTCTTTTTTTTTTTTAGCTTAAAGTTTTGCTTTTATTGTCCGCATCAATTTTTTAAACCAAAGTGACTTTATAAAATATTATGTTCATTTTAATAAACCAGGCTGGTTGCGTGCAGTCCTGATAAGGAGGTAGCGCCATCTATCAATACGAGCGCCAAACGCGCCCCGCCAGTCAACTTTGTCGTCTTCGTCGCCGCCTGCCATTGACCCTGGCAAGTTTTTGGGCCCTATTGTTTGACAGAAACGGAGCTACGCTTTGTAATTTTACAAGAAAAAACCGTCCTGTGAAATACAGCTTTGACGAAAAGTTTTGACCTTGAGCGGCCCCGGCGGCTTCATTGACGAAGCATCTAATAGGACACGTCGCAGCCAATGGGAATTTATTTATTGTTTCGCTGCCACAGACTACACGCTTCGCTCCTTGAGACAGGGGAATTTAGGTGCCGTTTTTCGCGGCTTCAAAAGCCGATAACGCGGATTCGCTCCATGGGACCAGTTAGTGCTTTCCCATTATAACAATTTTCAGCTCGCCTGTACACTCGCAAGTCTTTTTTACTAAGGCTAGATAGCAAGCCTAGATGTGAGAGAATGAGAAGTAGAAACCGTGGAAGAGATATCTTGCAATTTAATGGCCTGCTGCCAACGTTTCCTTCTGCGCACATTTGGTGCACGCACGCGTGCGTGCGTTTCCGCGTGGTGAAGAGGATAGCGGTCGGGAGATGTTGACCAAAGACGATCGTCGCTTTCGGCTCGTCCACGCACCTTGCATTGCAAACGCGGCCCGCACACCAGGCGACTCCGATCGAGCAGTTGGAAACACTTATACTTAGGCTCACCAACTAAGGCAGTCGCCGTCTTCAGTTCAGTCCTCTGTTTCTTCGGTAACCCCCCCCCCCCCCTTTTTTTTTTTTTTAGAGCGCAGCTCTTAGGCGCCCGTTTCCGGGTTGAGCGGCGTCGGCGTAACCGCGCAGGTTGCATTATGGGACGTTTCGCCACTAAAGTTAGCGAGGAAAATGACGTCACGTGACTCGTCTACACCAAATCAGTTTGCCCGCTAAATTTAGCAGAGAAAATGACGTCACGACTTGGTGCCACGTCACTTATGAACAAATTCATCGGCCGGAGGAGAGAGCGAAGAGAGGAGGAAGAGGAGGAGGGGGAGGGACTTACCTTCCCCTCCGTCCCCTCCCCTCCTCCTCCTCAAAAGCTGCGCTCTACTTTCGCATTACAGAGATTTGTAAACATCTTTCATTTTTTTTCCCCTCAGCTTTAGATGTAATGGGAAAGGTGTTCTATCTCGAAATGTTTCCACGAACACTGAGGAACTCCATTATGCTTAGCGTTTCGGCCTTTCTACTTAACCATGGAGTTGTAATGGTAAAGGGGCGCCGGCTACTCGTCAATGAGCTGAGTATCACTGTGATCTGTTATTTTATGCCACAATATTGTGGGAAGCCATCGTCGTTCTTGCAGGGGGCGTGACGGCATCCGGCGCATTAGAAAGCTCGAAACAAAATTTCGGAAATGTTTGATGAAAAAAAAAAAATATGTTGCGTCTATTATTGGCAGCTAATGCAATTCGATCGGCTTCATATGTTATTCACAAGTTCCGCTAAAACTTTTTTTTTTCATTAAAAATTTAATCTTTTTCTTGTTTTTTTTTAGTTTTGATATTTCGGGATTTTATTCATACGGTTCATGTTGCACCGAACAGAGTTTGAAAACGTTTAATAAAAAGCTATATTTCATTCATTCATTTATTAATCCTTAAGGGTCCTCTGTCGAGGACATTACATAAGGAGGGGGCAACACAAGAAATTATACAAGAAATGAAAAAAAACAACAATATAAAAATTACATAACAACGCACACTCATGCAACGTAGCTAAAATTGCATAACAACGCACTCTCATGCAACGTAGCTAAAACACTTAACTTGGTGTGGAAAAATACGACATGATGGAGCTTTTGAAAACCACAGGGTCAGTTATTGTAATGAGCGATTCTGGAAGACTGTTCCAGTCCACAATTGTTAGTGGGAGAAATGATTTGTTAAAGGCATTACTGGAACCCGATATACGTTGAAAATTGTAAGAGTTATTGAGCCGACGAGATGACCGTGCGGGAGTGCGCAGGAATGAGCTTTGAACAGTGGGATGGTAGTGGTAAAGTTTATGGAGTAAGCAAAGACGTGCAACCTTGCGGCGTACCTCCAGAGTTAGTAAATTTAGGCTCGTTTTCATGGCAGAGACACTGTTTTTATAGTCATAGTTTGATAAAATGTAGCGGGTTGCTCGGTTTTGAATTGCTTCCAGTCGGGTGATTAAGTAATTTTGGTGCGGATTCCATATTGTAGATGCATATTCCAATTTTGGTCGAATGAAGGTTTCGTATGCAAGTTTCCTAAGCTTTGGAGGAGCAGCATTCAAGCAACGCCGGATGTAACCAAGGGTCCTTGCTGTGTCCGAAGAAATTGTGTTAATGTGATTAATCCATGTCATATCGGAAGTTAGTACGATGGGATTAGTAAGTTAGTATATATCCTCCTTCTTTTTCTGTGGGGACTTGTTTTTCTCGGTACTGCATTGTTTTGTTTTTTCTGCACACGTTTATTATTCATTTCTGAAAGAGATGGAAAATGTCAATCAAAACGCGTTTAAACACCCCCCCCCCCCCCCTTTCTTTTCCTTTTTTTTTTGATTGAGAAAACAAAAGGTTTTAACGTAATAGTTCTGAAATTGGCCGCCTCCTTGTTCGGGCGCTGGCTTCGTTTATCGGCTATTGGTAAAACAAAATGGCTAGGTGGCGTAAGCTACCGCCCGATCCAGAGGGCTCAGCCGTATTCATCCATCCATCCGGCTTCTACTCTATTCGCTTCCCGCCCACAACGAAGTCGCCGCTTGGTCAGGACTGTATAGTCCATGCTCAGAGGCTGGTTATGCTAAAGGGACGGACAAAGGCTTCCAAGTTTAAACACGGGGGCACAAAAGGGGGGGACGTTTGCGATGGCGTCATTCCTTCTCCGAACAACGACCTTACCCGTGGGCGCCGGTTGGGCAACATCGAGGCCCCTTTTCATTCGAAGGGCTCCGTGTAATCAAGGTGACAAAAGGGTGTGGAAAGAATCTCGCGAGTGGGTGGGCCCGCTTTATAGACGCCGGCCGTGTTTGTTCGGACGCTCGCTTTTGGACAAACACGCGGCCGTTGTTGGCGACCGCTGAGACGAGGAGAATACATTTTTAACCATAGTTGGATCCTGCGATTTCATTCCTTCTCACGGCGATACGTCTGGGATCGATGATATGTCTGAAAAGTGTGTGTGTAGCAGAGAGAGAGAGAGTGAGAAGGGGGGGGGGGTGATAACAAAACGCACAAAGGCGACGAACGCCGTGACGAAGCATTTTTTGACGCTACTGATTGGCTCCATTGGATCCTAGCATCGGCTGCGGCCGCACTTAGAATGAAACGGAGATGTAGTTAACAAAACTCGCTCGCTTATCATTTGAGTTTCATTGGTGGCCGCCCAAGGGAGGACGGTGTCCAACCCGGTTATGACGAGGTTAACCTAATTTGGCTTCACAGTTTTATTATACACCCCCTCACCCTGTGGGCAACCTGGCGATTCCAAGCGGTTGGCCCAGGGTGCCCCTCCGACAATCATGAGTGGTCATCTTGACCACGAGGGGGCCAAGGACAACTGACCACGCGAGCGGCCCTCCGCCGCTGCTAAAAGGCCGTCGCAGCGGATGCGCGGGGGCTGTTGGGATCGCGGCGTAGGCGGTAGCGGTCATTAAATGTTTACGTGTTGTTGAACCAGTGTGCTGTGTCATCCTCCGAGACGGGTAGCAGCAAGGGAAATCCCACAACCCCCAGAATGCATTTGAATCCCATTGTTGTGGAAATGCATGTGCTCGTTCAGGCCAGTGTAGGCAACCCGGCGTTTGAATTTTTTTGGCATCACCTATAAACCTTTGCAAAAAAAAATATCTGCGCGCTTCTATCTTTGTCTGCTAGGCTGTGGAACACCTTTTGAGCCTGCGCTGTTGCTCTGCTGTGAGCTCTATCGGACGCTGCGCATACGTCCACAGCTCAGTGACTCAGCATTTTTTCGCCCAGGTGATAAGCGATGCAAAGGTCCATAGACCAACAAGCGGCTCTGACGTCTCGCCTAAGCGGTGGCGCTGTTGTCGCCACGGCGCATGCGCAGAAGCTTTACCTCACGCGAATCTGATTTCTGCGCTTGCGCAGAGCCTTCACTTGGTGTGGGCGAATGCGGGCTTGTTGTTGAAGCGATGTTTATTAGGAAATCGACGTTGTTGTTAGTTACGCTCTGGGCGCACTTGTCACTGTCGATGGGAAAGGGAATTAAGGGAAAAAAGAGATAGAGGAGAAGAAAGGGGGAAGGGGGAAGAGGATTTCTTCAGAGTGTTGACTCGCGACTCCTGGAACTCCCGAAAACCTCTGGATGTAACATCTCCAAGAGCCCCAAGAGCCGCAAGCAACCCAGATCTCTTGGAAGTCCTAGAGGATCTCGAGGAGTTCCGCGCTCCTCAGGAAGCTGACTACACTTTTGAGTGCCTTGTCCGCAGTAGCTCGTGAGGCTCTTGGACGCAGGAGT